CCTTCCCCTTGGGTGGCCTGGGGTGCCCTGTGGGCTGGACCTTGGGAACTGGCTGCCTTATACTTTCACCTACCCCAGCCTGTGTCTGTCCCCTTCCCGACTTCTGCTGACCTCCTGTTCCCACCCCACTGGTCCCTCCCTCACCATGCTGTCCCTGCACTACTGCTCCTGGCCTCCCCTCAGCGAGTGAGTTTGTGTGACCTTCGCACTGCATTCAAGCTTCGGGACTTAGCCGCCGTAATGATGTCAGTGGCACAGGTTAGCAGATGGCGGCCGCAGCAATGAGACCTGACATGTTCTAATGACTCCCTCCTTTCCACCCTTGCCGGCCAAGCCGGTGGAGGGGCAGGGGTTTCCTCGAGGCATTTTAGGAGGGGGCCAAGGGAAATCGGGGGCCCCCAGGTGCCGATGAGGCCTGTGACCTTTGCTGCTATAATATCAGTGTTTCACAAGCAGGGCGGTTCGGGAGCCCACTTGCAGCCCATCAAAAATTGATTTAATTGCAATTTTTCCTCCAATTAGGAGCAGTGGAGCCTGACTAATTGGAGTAATAGAGAGTAATAAGGCTCAGATAAAAAGCCTTCCTCGGCGGCCTTTGTATCTCGTGTCAGTGCCTGTCAGAGGTCAGAGAGCTTGCATATTCTATTAGGCAGCCCGGCCTTCATTTGTACAAATTAGTTTACCCAACAGTAATTAAAATGCCAATGCGGGTTGAAGAGAACTGAATACACTTGATGGGCATGTTGGTGAATGATGTGACAGCTCTGGTGGCCTCCCTTGCCAAAGTGTGTCAGCCCCGGCTCGGAGGCGGCTGGGGCCTGGGCCAGCTGGGTGGCTCCAGGCCAGCCGCGGGGCACAGCTGCTAAGCACGCCACTTGTGCTGCCTCCTCAGAGCCACTCAGACTCTCCTTTCTTCTCCCGGGTGGGGCCATTTGTTCGGTTGTCCATTTGTTCACTCAACAAGGGTTGGAGTTTTCAGTGTGTGTCAGGCACTGTACGAGGTGCTGGGGAGAGAACGTACTGGGCAAGGGTAGGTTCAAATTCCAGCCCTACTAGTTCTCCCTGTGGGAGCCAGAGCAGGGTGCCTCAGTTTTCCCATCTGTAAAATAGGGAAAGTGGTACCTGCGCAGAGTTCCAGTGATTAGATGGGATGATGTTTGTGAAACCCTTCCTCAGCACCTGGCACATAGTAAGTGTTCAATAAATGACTGATGTAATTAAGAGGGCCTGAATGAAGGTAGAGGCAGCAGGACCCTATTTTTCACCCTGCTCATGCCTGAATAATTTTCCTTCCTCCCTTTCTCCTCTCATCTTTTTCTTGTTATTTTCTGTTCCTCAACTTGAGCACCTGAACCCCTAATTCTCCTGGCGTCTCTCTCTGATATGGGGCTCCCACGTCTGCTTCTTGGGCCTGATGATGATCTCTGTGGTGCCAGGTTTGCTTGAGCTCAGACCAGGGGGCCAGGAAGGTAGGTTGGGAACCTGGACAAGGTCTGGGGCAAGATGAGAAATTGGAGAGGGCTAGCTTCTGATCAGGGCTTTCTCATCCAAAAAGAGCAGAGTTTATAGAGTCAGAATGCCTCTTAGACCCTCAAGCTGAGAGCGTGGGTGTGTACTTGTGCAAGAGGGTGTGTGTGTGTGTGTGTGTGTGTGTGTGTGTGTGTGTGTGTGTTATTAATTTGTAGGTACTGTTGGTACTTCTCATCTATTATCTGGTTGTGGTGCTTATGAGGGATTCCACTGCCAACCAACGATGTATGACTGTGTCGTGTGTCATTCAGTCCAGTGATTTGGGAATTATTTCTTTAAGAAGCAGAGGGACCCCCTTCATAGCCCACATGACTAGATTCCCCAGCCTGGTTGGCTATGAGCTTGGAAGGCCCTTGCAGTCTGGTGCCACAGACTTGTGCCGAGTACCTCTTTCGGGCCAGGTGCTGTGCTGGGCACCAGAGGACACAGGAGTCCCCATATGGTCCATGATCTCAAAGGGAAGATGGGGAAATAACCCCCCAAATACCCTTTGTCCCAAGGACAAGATCAAGTGTGGTAGGGACCTGGAGGAAGGGTGGTCATGTCACCTGAGGAGCCAGCAGCTTCTGCCTCTGTCTATTCACAGGTTTGCCTTCCCCATCCCTAGGATACCCCCGAGAAAGAGAGGGAGTGAGGGCAAAAGCCATTTGCATTTTCTTTTCTTTCTGGGGAGAGCTGGCTTTTTCAGTGACCGCAGACTCTAAGCGGAGATTGTAGCAAAGACCTTTTAATGCGTTAGACTCTGAGTCATCGCTTCGGAGGCGCCCCTGGCGGGGTGGTACCCGTGTTCGCCGAGGGCATCTCCGAGCATTCCAGGAGAACCTTTGGCCCGCGTGGCACAGGGCCCGGCACAGGGAGGGCATGGGGAGATCTGGTGCAGGACGACGGCGGGCTGGCACGCGTGGCGCGGGATGGCACTACGTGTGGGCGAGACGGCGTGGTGGAGGCTGAGCTCGTGGGGGCGGGAGGCCTCCTGGGGTGCATATCCCCCACCCCACCGGCCTCCATTTGGAGCACCTTTTCTGGTGGGGCTCCCGGGAAGCGGGCGAGTATGCTGAAGGAGTTCCTGAAAACTTGTAGAAGTTTGGCCGTCACCTCATTTCCCTTTCTGTGCAGTGGGAATAATCGCTTCCATTGGGAACTTGCTGTGTCATGTGAGGCATCCTTTGGGTGTCCCGGGACAGTGAGTTCCATCTCCTCCCACCCCTGCACCAGGTGTGTCCTGCATTCGGGCACGCCTTTTAATCTTCTGACCTTGAACATGGCTGGTCTGTGGCTCTTGCCTTCTGCTTTCTGAAGTCCACGGGAGCTGAGGGGTGAGGTGGGGAGCAAGTGTGGCCGCGTATAGGGAGGAACAGTGCAAGGTGTGCGGTGCTGTGCCCGCAGCCAGCTTCACCCCGAGTCCTGGCAGTCCCCACGGTCGGGGTGTGCGTCCTGGTGTGTGTGCCCAGCAGGACCTGGCTCCAAAGCTGCTTGACCGTTGCTTACAGGGTCCGTACTGAGTGTTCAATTTGATTATTCTCTTAGGTCCTCGTACGTGCTGGGGGGGGTGTCTCTCTCCTTCCCCCTCCTCCTCCCTGCACTGCATAGTTGGGCAAGGGAAGGGGGCAGCTTTTGGAAAGAAACGTTTCTGGGCGTCGTGTCCAGACAATCATGAAAGGCCTTCGTGGGGGTACGGAGGTGAGAGGCAGTCCTCCTGGTGGGACTGGTGACAGGGGGGCAGGAATGGAGGACGGGAGTCCCTGGAACAGGTGTTGGCAGCCCCGCCCCAGCCTTCTGGGAGGTGCTCCAGATGCTTCCTCCCATCTCCCTCCCTCTTGACTTACTTGCTCACTGAGTCACACCTGTGGCCCATCCGAGGCCTCCTTGAGAGATGTCTGCGTCCATGCTGGCGCGCCTCACCTGGCCCGCGCTCCTCGAAAGTCTGAAGAGCCCAATTGCCTGCTTGAATGCTTTCCAAGTGGCTATTATGTTTCCAACCCAAGGTAATTGGCTTTACCAGTTATTAATGGATTACCCTCCAGAGAAAAATGTTGAGGGGAGGGAGGTGAGGACAGCACCTCCTGGCTTTGTAGCTTGGGGCTTCAGTGTCCAGTGGCCGATTTCCAGGCTGGGAGTCCCTTGGGTCATGATGGAGTGGCTGTTTTGGCACACCATTCCGGGTGAGTGGTTGCTGGCACTCTAGTGGGTCGAGAGGAGGCTGGGATGATGGAGCATGTCCCTAAGAAACTCTTGGCTTGAGGCATGGAAGCCCCAGGGTGGCTCGTGTGGCCTTTTTAATCAGCCTGGAGTCAAAAAGCAGACACCTGCTCTGCCATTTTTATTGTAAATCGGTGGGTCGGCCAACGCCTGCCCCGATCTCTCCCCCATCGGCGACCGGCAGGCTGCCTCCCGCAGCCAAAGCCCCTGGCTTCTTCAGAGCCCTCTCTACAGAAATCTGTCCCCCCACTGACCCGCTTGGGACGAGAGAGCCACAGGTGCTGGGCAGGGCCAGGGAGGATGGGCTGCTGCCCCACACTGCTAAGGTGTCATTAATCTGTCTGCTCCCCCCACCCCCCAGCTCCAGACATGTAGGGACCTGCCCTTCCCTGCCCCAGGGCTCCCGAGTGACACAATCATTTTTGACTCTCTTGCTCATGGTTAGGTTTTTTTAGCCAGGCTTCCTGCAGGCCTCCCTCCCTCACCCCCACCAGCAAGTCCCCCACAAAGGTGGGGTCTGGCACGTAGGTCCCAGTTCCAGTCCCGGTGCTCCGGCCGGCCTGGCTCACCGTGCGGAACCTGCCTGCCAGCCTGGGGCCTCCACCTAAAATGAAACTCTGCAGATGGCACGTGTTGAACTTTCTAGGGATTTAAGAGATCCTCTGGGAAATGGGGTGTGTCCTTGTCCTCTAAACTGCCTGCCTGCCCGCCGTCCCACTCCACGGCAGCCCCAGCAGCCTGGGCCTCCACTCTCTCTGCACCCTCACATCCCAGCACGTTACCCATCTCGTCTTCTCATGTGTAACTCGCTTTTGATGGTTCCCTCTGGTCAGTGTGGTGCCATCGTACCCGCCCTGCGCTTGCACATTACAGGTGCCCCCCAGCTCTTAAAACTGTCAGTCGTGCCCCCCATCGCCCTTACCTCTGACCAGGGCATCCCCTTCCGGCACCCGGCAGCCTGTTCCCAGGAGACCATTTCTGCAGCCCGGCAAGCGTGCTCTGTCTTGACCTGAGGGCTGTACGTCTGGAGAGGTGCTTTCCTGGTGGGCAGAGACCACGAGACCCTTCTGAGTGGCGAGCTCAGCCGTCCTGAAACCTGGGGGCCCCTGGGAGGTCGTAGCCCTCAGCACTCTTCCGGTCGTCTCCCTGCGGCCTCGGCCTCTCCGATGGCCCCGTAGCCATTTCTCTCATCCTGTCTCACCTCCGTGATCCCCCTTCTGCCACAGGCTCTGACAAGCCAGCCCTGACTCCACTCTCCTTTTGTTTGGCAGCTCTTTTGTGACAGGGACGGCCTGTTGTGGGCACTTCTCACCCCTAAGAATCTGGGACCTCAACAGGTAAGAGATTCCTGAGCCACCACGGCTTCCTATGGGGTGCGGCTAGAGCAGCCAGGGAGGCAAAGCACAGAGCTGGCTGGGCCAGCCCGGGCTCCAGTGGGCCACCAAGTGGTCCAGGGGGAGGCTGGGAAGAACCCAGTGGCCCGACTCACTGGCAGCTTGCAAGGTGCGTGCTCTCTCCTGGCGTCGTTAGAGTTAGCCTGAGGAGACTGTTGGAAGTAATTTATAATAGGTCAGTAATTTCCCTTAGAAATCAGGGTAACAACAATTTGGATTTACGATACTTTTTCTCTGAGGAGTGCCCGATTATGTGGCTACATAAAATCCCATCTATCCTTGGAGATGATTTTTCTAAAATAAAGAACTTTGGGAAGCGGCCTACAGAGCCATAAAAAGAATTACACAGAACAGTTAAAATACGTCCAGGTTTTATTCACAACTCTCTGCCTTGGTAAGCTTGACACGTTCCCATCAGATTGTCTACCATTCCGTTGGATTTTTTTAAGCTTTTTATTTTGAAATAATTAGAGATTCATAGGAAGTTCCAAAAATAGGACAGCAAGGTACCTGTGTTACGTTAGATAATATAATAAATATAAATTTGATATCAATTATTTATAAGTAATTTCTATATTATATTATGTTATATTATATTATATTATATTATAATCAGAACCAGGAAATTGACATTGGTATAATCCACAGACCTTTATTCAGATTGCACTCATTTCTGTGTGTGTGTGTGTGTGTGTGTGTGTGTGTGTGGTTCTTTGCAATTTTATCCCATGTGTAGATTCACGTAACTACTACAACAGTTAGGATACAGAACTGGCGGATTCCCCACTTGCCCACGTACAGCCACACCATCTTCCTCCCCTGCCCTCTTAAACTCCCTCGTCTCTAACCTCTCGCAGCCACTTACGTGTTTTCCACCTCTTTACTTCTGGCAGCTTGGAGGTGTTATATAAGTGGAATACCTTTTGTGATTTGGTCCCCACCCCCGTTAACCCAGCATAGTTCTCATGAGAGCCATAGCACTCGTCCTATGTATCAATGGCGCCTTCCTTTTTATTGCTCAGTAGTATTCCCTGGTGTGGACGCCCCAAAGTTCTCTCCCACTGAACAGCATTCACCCACTGAAGGGCATTTGGGTTATGTTCAATTTTTTGACTATTGCAAATTAAGCTCTCATGAACATTTGCATATAATCTTTTGTGTGGACACATGTTTTCATTTCTCTGGGATAAATGCCCCAGAGTCCAAGTGCCAGGTCATTTGGTAAGTGTGTGTTTAATTTTTTACCTGTCAAACTATTGTGAATATATTTACCATTTTATAATCCAACTCCAGGGTATGAGAGATGTAGTTTCTTCCCATCCTTGACAGCATTTGGAATTGCTGCTCTTTCTTGTCTTAGCTATTCTAAGAGGTGTGGTATCTCGTGGCTTTAATTTGAATTTCCTTAATAGCCAATGACATCTTTTCGTGTGTGTATTTGCCTTCTGTATGTTCTCTTTGGTGGAATCTCTGCTCATGTCTTTTGGCGATTTTCTAATTGAACAGTTTGCTTTTTCACTGGTGAGTTTGGGGAGTTCTTTATATATTCTAGAAATGAATCCTTTTTCAGATATGTGGTTTGCCTCTATCTTTAAGTCTGGAGCTTGTCTTTTTATCCTCTTAACAGGATAAAAGACCAAAGTTTTACATTTTGATGGCGTCCAAATTATTATTTTTTTTTTTGTCAATTGTGCTTGTGGGGTCAAGTCTAAGACCGTCTGCACCTGGCCCCAGGTCCCGTGCTCTGGTTCAGCACCGCGATCTACAGCAGCAGCGAGGATGTTCTGTTCTTGTCTGTCTCCTGCCTCAGTGACTCTAGCATGTCTCCTTTCCTCTCTGTATCCCCAGGAAAGTGGTACCCATCTTTTTGCCCCCTGAAAAATCCATTGTATTGTCAGTCTTTCCAAAAGGTTTTTTCTTTTTTAACACGTGAGCTGTTTTAGTTAAATATGGTTTTTTCTACACCATTCTCTTAACGGTCATCCAACCACAGGGATAGGAAACTCACAACTCTCCCAGACACCACATTACATCTTTGGAGAGCCCTGAGAGTTATCACACCTGTCCTTCATCGAGAGTTGACCTGCTTCCAGGAGCTATGATTCTAGGCAAGAAGCAAGTTGAACCTTGCCTCCGAAGACAGGGCTTTAAATATCTGAAATCTTTGGTCCTGTTTCTCCAGTGTCTTCTCTTTATCAGGCCGAAAGTCTGAGGCCCTTCTGCTGTTGCTTATACACATAGTACATCAGTTAGGGTGCTTTTGGCTGGAAGTATTGAGGGCCTACTTCAAAGTGGCTCCAACAATAAAGAGATTATTATTATCGTAAGTGACAAGGAGTCCCCAGGAGCTGGAAGCTTCGCTGGTTCCAGGATTGACGGGTGCAGTAGCTCAGTGAGAGGCTGAGGGCCCATCTTCTCAGCTTTCCGCTTTGCCCCCTCTGTCAACGTGGGTTTTGCCCTTATCCTCAGGCTTGTTCACAAAAGCTCTACCTGCTCATGAGGCAAAATACCCAGAGGGAGAAAGGAAGGAAGAGGACTTGTCCCTACCTGGGTCTCTTTTTAAGATGGGGAGTCCTTTTATAGGAGCCCCCAAGCAGACTCCTTATATTGAGTGAGCCAAAAGTGTATTCCGTTACTCACCCTGAACCAAACCGTGGCAAGGGAAATGGAATCACCAGTCAAGATTGACCTGGGTCTGGGGAAGAGCCCAGCTTCCCCCACGTGCATAGTGGCAAGGAGGATGGGAGTGGTGGGCACAGAATGAGATTTGGGTCAGCAAGAAAGTAAATGAGGAATAGCTGGGAGGGTGACCCTACTGTGTGGGTCTCACACTCGTTTTAGGACCATTCTCACCTGAAAGTTTCTTGCATTTATCTGGTTGGATCCCTCTTGAAATGGGATGTTCGTAACCGAGTACTGAATGTGCCGGGTGTGAGATGATGAGTGGCAGGTGCTATCCCCTCCTTATTCTAGATCTTTTGCTTTTGTTAGTGTAGCTGATGGTCACATCCTACTGTTGTCGGCACAGCTCAGCTAAAACTTCCAAGGGATCCTTTGTCCTGTAGCCTCTGGGACGTTGGAGCGCCTGCAGTCTGTGAATGTCGTTCCCGTGACTCCCCTGCCAAACTCCTGCCACCGGCAAACTTCTTGCTTCTGCGTGGGGCTGAGGCCAAGGAACCCCTCCTCTGGTGTGTGATGGGAGGCTGTGAGGAGCTACGGAGGGCACACAGGCTGTGTGGTCAGACAGACTTGGGTTCTCGAACTAACTCTGCCGCTTCTTAGCTCTGTGATATGGGTGGGGGGCACTCTGAGCCTCGGTTTCCACATCTGTAAATGAGATTTAATGATCTGTACTTAACAGAACTAGTATGAAACCAATTGTTTTATACAAGAGCCCATACGGTGCCTGTCCCCCTCCCTTTCTTTTTCCTCCCCTGCGGCTGCCTTCCATAGTAGTACCTTAGAGATTCTCCAAATACCTGTGGCCTTGTGACCACTGGGGGCGGAGTGGTCCTGCTGACCTCATGGCCTAGAGAAGGCCCATGACAGGAAGTAAGGCTGCAGGTCACAAGACAGGTGTTTCTGCCGAAAAGTCCGTTTTCATCCTGTAGCCGGACCTCGTGCCTGGCGACCTCACTGGCCTGCGCCCGGGGTGGGGTGGGTGCACCACCGTGGCCCGGCTTTGTGTCAAAAGCTGAGTAACCTTTGAGGGCCTCTTCTGCCTGGGGTTTCCTTGGTGGGGCTACTCCTGGGCACAGATTTATGGCCGGGATGTAGTTCTAAGCCACCAACTCCTTGAACGGCCCTCTCTTATGGGGTTAGTCGTCACTAACCCCAAACACTGGGTCTTTACAGAACCCGGGAAGAACCCGAGTGGATCATAGGCACAGGATGGCTGCGGCCGGGATCCTGACCGGAGCCAGATGAGAAGCCGCCACTGCATCCCCTGGACAGCCTGTGGCAGGGCCGCCCTGGGCACCATGTGGCTTTGCCTTCTCACTGGCGCACAGACGCCCCTCCTCGCCACTGAGAGGAGCCGGCTGCGTTTCCATAGCCCTCTGGTTCCCAGGGGAGCCCGGAGGACTGAGTGGTGCGGGGCTCGGAGGAGAGATGCCCCGGTGGAGGCATCTGCTTTTGGTGGGAGGAAGTGGATGGACAGGGTGACTGTCTGTAGCTGTCTTTCCCAGAGAAGCCCAAGCAGATAATAAAGCCATGTAGAAAATAGGATTAAGGTAATGAACAGGCAGGACAGAGTTTGATCTTTCAATAACGCCAAAGCCTGACTGACAGGCCAATCTGGAAGGTGGGGCAGCACCGCCCGCAGGACTAGGTGGCGGGGCGCTGTGCGGGGCTGGGGGGATTCTTTGCTTTTAACCTGTCACCACTGAAACCTGAGGAGCACCGGGATTTTCTCTTTTATGTGTGTGCTGTGACTTGGGCGGGGGAAGGAGTGCTCCGAGCAACCCCCCTCTGGGGCCGCCCTCAGGATGATGGCGGGGGCTGGGACACAGCTGGGAGGTGGAGGTGCCCTGCTCCGCACGTCTGCTTCCTGCTGCCTCTCAGGTCCCCGCTATCTGGGAGCTTAGGCTGCTTCCCACAGTGCCTGGGGACCCCTTCAGAGTTACCCGGGCTCCCTCAGCCCTTCCTTTCATCAAGACCCCTCTGGACTCTGTTCTCCCTACGAGTTAGGGAGAGGGAGGTGCGGGCTGGAGCACACGGGTTCGAGGGCAGCCATGGCATACAGCCATCGTCTAGACAGCAAGGAGCTTGACCGTCCCTCTCCTTTCTTCTCTGCCTTTCTTTCTCCTGGAGTTGGGAACCGTGGGCCGGGCCCAAGGACAGGGAATTTCTAACCTGTCTAAACCAGGCAGAGAGAAAGATGGAGTTCTTGACCCAACTTGGAGGTGCCAGAGTGTTCCTGCTTCCAAGGGTAGGTGGTCTTT